GCAGGCAGCGCTGTGGACCAGCCCTTTGCTGTTATCATGTATAGGCAGTAAGACATGCTTCCTCTTTCTGATGAAATATGCGGACACATTAAAACTGGACTATGGCTCTTCAAAGTTAAAAAAAAAAATTGCCCAGGAAAATGAGTATTGTTGCTATCAAATCTTAAATTCCCAATGCCCCCATATACTCTCCTACATACTCAAAGTTGAGAAGCCATAAATTGTGTTTTGAATCCCCCAACAGGATGGTTAGGCCTGAGGAGAAACCCATGTTCATCCCGAAATCCCAAGATGTAGGGCCTGCTACATGCATTTGCTGAACCCAGGAATCACGAGGTTAATAAATTATTTCACATTGAGAGCAGATTTATCAATACCCTTCCGGTGCATCCATCAGGGTGTTGCATTCATGTGATGAGAAGATTTAATTCTGTCCCTTCCCACCGGGCATTGGAATCAGAGTGAGGAAATGGCTGTGTCTTGAAAAATTGGAATGTGCATGCTTGAACGGCCATCGCCTTGGGGTGAGCTGTGGAACCCTGTCTGAAGCCAAATAGTTTCTATCAAATCTTATTTCCCCATTTAAGACCCAGGTGGCACTAGGCCACTGGAGCCGCGGAGAAACCAATGGCAGGGAGCTGTGACTCCTGGCTCCACCCCAGGCTCTGTGATTGACAGGTGGGCGAGGTTGTCGGTGTAAAGCTCTGAGCACTGTGGGGCTCTCCTGTGGAAAGAGCCATGTACACAGGACGTGTTGTTGTAGGAACAGTCCCCGTGGGCGTCGCATCAACATGACGCTCAGGTGAATACCTGGAGGGAAAGTCCATGTTTTGACTGTTGCTCAGCTGGAGACCATTCCACTCAGAGCCATTTTTTTCCTGGAGGGAAAGTCCATGTTTTGACTGTTGCTCAGCTGGAGACCATTCCACTCAGCCATTTTAGAGGGTTGCCCTCGGTCTTTTAATGGAATTCCATCCAGCGTGCTTGTTATCACAGAGCCCACGCTCCTCCCTGCCGGGACTGGGGCCAGGTGACTTTCTCCCTTTGGCCTGGCACCGCAGGCACATGGCATTGGGCCAGCCCCAGCATCCCATCCCGTCTGTGTGTCCACGTCTCGCGCCTCAGCCAAGTCCAGCCTTCTCATTCCCAGGGAGTTGGGGGCGCCTGTTAGACCGACGTGCACCTGGGAACCTGCATCTATGGTGAGAGTTAATACACAAGAACTGTCATTTGGCATCGCAGGCGTGGCTTAATGGTGGAGCATCTGCCTGTGAACCAGGAGGCCACCGCTCGATTCCAGGTCAGGGCACAGGCCCGGGTTGCAGGCTCTATATTAGGTAGGGATTGTGTAGGAGGCAGCCCATCCATGATTCTCCCTCCCTCTCTTAAATCAATAAAAATATGTATTCTAAAGAACTGTTATTTCGATCCAAAGAACAAAGAGTCTTCTGATGAACTCAGAGCAGACTCCCAGAGCCAGGTGCTTGGGGAAGAACAGTCAGTCCCCCTGGTTCTGTGTGGTGTTTAGACCAAAGAGCTGGGGAAGACGGTGAATGGACTCTCAGGAAATGAATCATCAGTGAAACACCTTCCGACAACAGGCAGCGGATGTGAGGGAGCACTTCCGGTGAACAGGGTGACACTATTGAGATGGGGACATCAGCCATCCCTTTTCACACAGACTACATGTTTCCAGGTGGGCCTGCCTCCAGGCCTCTGGAGAGATGAGTATGTATGTGTGTGTGAGTGTGTGTGTGTGTGTGTGTGTGTGTGTGTGTGTGTGTGCGCACACACATACGTAAGTGCATGTGCATGTACTAAAGCCACTAGTGAGGAGGAGAGGACGAGGTGAGAGTGCCGGAAACTGCAGAGGAACCCAGTGTGGAAAGGGAAGGGGCTCACTGTCTGCAAGGCCAGAGGGAGTGGGAATCTGAGGTTGCTAACGCTGCCTGACGTTTGAGCAACTTCATGATCCCTCACGGAGGAAAGTCATACGGACGGAGTGCCCGCTGGTGCCCATGCTCGCACTACTGCTGGTGCACATGCTTTTCAGAGTTTATTCTCACGGCCCCGGAGCTGATGGCTGAACCCATGCCGTCTGGAATACCCTCCACACTTTGCTTCTGATTCACTGGTTGGAGTCGGTATTGATACCAATCAACACGTTTGTATGAAGGCTCTTCATTTCCTTTCAGTTTGAATAAGGCTTTTTTCCTATGACAATTGCAAGGTAGAGCCTACGACTGAATATCCTCGAGTCCTGTTCAGTCTGGCTTCCTCCTCACCCTGCCACACGCCTGACTGACAGTATTTGCATAATGAGTCTTCAGGGAGCCCCTCCTCCCCCTTTACTCGACATGCCAGCATCCTATGGGGACAGGGACCAGGACCAGGGTCTGCGGAGGCCCATCCTTGGTTCTGGGGGCCCCACCGTGGCCTCTACCCCTTTGGGTGCCGTGGTGCTCATTCCTGCGGACCCCCATCATCTATTGTTACAGAAACTCTCGGAGAGCAGAAAGCTGGCCCTGACCGGAGAGGGCCACGGGGAGCCCAGCTCAGGAGACATGTTTCACGCTGTATCGAATTCCAGCGCCAGCACCTGCCAGTCCCACAAGCTCACGGCCGTCTCCTCAGGGGCTGTTGGGAGTGGGCACTTTGACCTCCACCTCCACGTGCTTCTCCATCATCCCCATGTTGGGAGGCCCAGCGGTTCCTCCTGTCTTGAGGCTTAGTCCCCTCCCCGAGTCCTCTCCCACATCCATCCACATCAAGGTTCCGTGTTCTCATCTTCTAAAGGGCTCAGGCCTGGAAGGGTGCCTGCAGGCATGTTTGTCCTAACCAGCCCCTGGAGAGGGAGACTCCATTAACCTTTATCATCTCCACACATGCCTGTGCTCATGGAGGGGGACGCCCGTCTCTCCTCTCCAGCAGAGGGCAGGCACCTGGGTGTCAATAGCTCATTCCCACGAGAAGCTCCCAATGACAAGGGGGATGAGGCTCCGGAGTGTCCCTGTGGGTGGAGTTGCTAACTCGTCCCCTTTGGAAAGTAAAGGGCGGGAATTAGAGTGACACGTCTGGTTATGAACTGCTCAGGCTCCGCCGTATTCATTCTCGGTGGGAAGGAGCTTCGAGGGGAGAGGCTTACCAGCGGCTCCCGGGGGAGAACCGAACACCCAGCCCCAGAGCCACCGGCCTCGTTACCCAAGGAGAGACCAGGTGGTGTTCTCACCCACGGGATGGAAAGAGCATTCTTTACATGTGTCTTCACTGGTGAGAGTTACAGATGTCCCCTTTAAAAAAAAATGTGTCTTAGCATTTCAGCGAGAATTTCATTTCATTGGACTAAATTTAAAATGCAATTGGGTTTGCCATCTTCTCTCGGATTAAAACATTGACCAGATGGTCGTCAGGCATGTTACATTAGATGAGGTTCCTGTTGTATTGTTTTCATGGTGCACATGTAAGCGTATGTTTTCCTCGCCTGCCCACTACGTTCTTACGTGCTTTGACTTCCACGTATGAGCCTCTATCCCTGCCCCTCACTCCACATGTGTGTCCTGTGTTTCTGGGGTCCCCTGGATGCGTGGTCGCTGCTGACATTTGGGCAGTGAATGTGGGTGAGTTGACGGGGTCTCAGCCTCTGTTGGACGCACTGTTGTCTCCGTGGCCCCTGAGCCCCCCGTTCTCCCTGTGCTGGCCCCCCACTGTCCACTGGGGGAACTCCTCTCTGAGTCCAGCCATGGGAGGGAATCAGTAACATTTAGAAGGCGTGATTAGTACTGAATTGTGTAATTGTGCAAAGTGATTGACTAACGTAAGAAGAAGAAAACTTTGGTCTGTTTATTCTTTTACGTGAATGAGCAGTTAATCTTCTTTTTGTCACTCAATGTTTTTAAGAGCTGGAAATGCAGAATCCGCTCATAGTCTGTGATGAAGTCTTTGCAGTCCCCCTGCCCTGAAGGAGGAGGAGATATTTTACTTGCATTCTGCAGCCCTGTGGCTTCGACAACCCTTAGATTCTGGTCCTATCAACGTCATGTACCCAGAAGCATCCAAGTGGATTATAGATGAACTAGGACAATGCCCAAGGTGTCCATGGCGAAACCTGGGCTTGAAAAAGCTCTCTGTGCAGACAACTCATCTTTAAAAACCATGGCAATGGGGGCGGGAGGGAAATGGTTACCTTCAACAATAAAGGTAAATTAAAAAAGAAAAAGAAAAACCACCACAAAAAAAATTGTAAACGTATCTAACCCTTAGGGACATAAATTACTTGGGAACCATTCATTAGTAACAGCCTCGTTAGGGTAAACTGTACCCCGATCCTATGAGCAAGTTCAGCGGAGAATTCTGGAAACTCACAGAAACTAGACGGGGGTGGGGAGGGGGGGGGATGGTTGGGAAGGAGGGAAAGGGCAAGGGATGGGGGCAGGCTACATGCGACACAGACAGAAAACCTGTGTTACCAAGTCATTATCCTATTTTTTTCTAAATTAAAAACCAATATACGCTTTTTGTGGAAAGATTTTCTGAATATCAAGAAGAAAACAAGTTGTATCTGCCGTGTTCTTCCTCGGAGACAGCTTGCTGACCCCTCAGCTCAGGGCACCCCTGGGGGTTCCTGTGCCCATGGAGATACAGAAAAGCACTCTTATAGTTCACTTCTTCTTATGTGCAAACTCCCCCAGATTTTGCCTTTTTGAAAAATCAGGATAAGATTTGCAGCATGCTATGGGGTTGATTCCAGGTCTGTGTTTAGGATGCATTAGTCGGTGACCTGAGCATTTCCCCGAATCAGGAGCTTCCCGTGGAGGCCGTGCATGGTGCTCTGTGGCATCGCTGACGGTGTCCCCGGGTGCCTGGCTGGATTATTGGTCCCAGGACAGAGGCTCCTGGTCTGGGCAGTGGGTCTCTGCACGTCCTGGCTTTCTCTGTCATTCTGCACACGGTTCAGTGAACTTAGGATCCAGAGCAGCAGTTCTCCACCTTCCTGATGCCACGACCCTCTAATACAGCTCCTCATGTGGTGGTGACCCCCAACCATAACATTATGTTCGTTGTTACTTCATAGCTGTCATGTTGCTACTGTTATGAATTGTGATATAAATATCTGTGTTTTCCCATGGTCTTAGGCGACCCTGCTAGGGGTTCTCAACCATCAGGTTTGAGGGCCACAGGCTGAGAACCACTGCTGAGGAGCCTAAGACCAGATATTTACATTAAGATTCAGCCCTAACTAGTTTGGCTCAATGGATAGAGCATCTGCCTGCAGACTGAAGGGCTCCATGTTAGATTCTGGTCAAGGGCATGTATATTGGTTGCAGGCACATCCCTAGTGGGGGATGTGCAGGAGGCAGCTGATCGGTGTTTCTCTTTCATGGATGTTTCTAACTCTCTATCCCTCTCCCTTCCTCTCTGTAAAAAATCAATAAAATATATATTTTTTTAATAAAGATTCATAACAGGAGAACATGACAGCTATGAAGTAGCCACAGAAATAGTGTTATGGTTGGGGGCCACCACCACACGGGGAGCTGTGTTAGAGGGCTGTGGCATCAGGAAGGCGGAGAGCCGCTGCTCTGGAGGAGCACAAACAGCAGGACCGGGTCTGAGCCAATAGCACAGGAAGCAGGGACCCTGACCGGGCACATCAGTCGGCCCGGGGACCGAAAAAGCCTGTGCTGGCCGCATGCTCGGTCCCAGCCTCAAACAGCCCTGTCTCTGGGTAAGGGTGGGGTCATGACCTTGGCCCCCGGAACAAGGGCTCTCTCGGCGCCTCGGAGAGTGGTTTGATGGGCCCTTGGTTGCTGATTTGCTCTCCTGGCTTAGTCTCTTATGGACATGGGGGCCGCTCTGTCTGGACTCCGCCCCTCTGGCCTGGAAGCTAGCAGACCGGGGAGCAGGCGTGGCCTGGGTCCGTGTTCACGTGTGGACACAGGCTGCACTCGGAGCAGCTCAGGGAATGGGTGTTGGCCTTGAAGGCACCTCCTACGCACCTGGTAGGACACCAATGAGCCACCCCATCTGCCCCCCTGGGCAGGGGTGGGGGGAGAGGGCATTGCATTTCCTGCATGCAAGGACAGTGCGTCTGCCTCCTTGACTTCTCATCTGTCTTTTACTCCTTTGATGAGTTGCCTGAGAAGGAAATGGGGATAATTAGACTCTTTTTAGCAGCACCAAGCTTTTCTGCGGGCACAGGACCCGCAGGATGAATGGAAGTGGCTGAAACGCATTACCAGCTCGGAAGGCAAACCCTCAATCACTGGTCTTGGTCACACGCCAGTGAGAACCCTTCCGATTGATTTAACACTTCCCTTCATTTCTAAGGCTCGCCCCACAAGGAGGAGGCACTGAACAATTTGATTATTTTATAGCCAAGGAGAGTTGAGGGAGCTTGGGGGTGGGTAATATATGTGAAAATCAGCGTATATTAAAGAATACTCCCCTTCTAGGAGAAATGGGAGGGACTTGCTCTGAAAATGTCCCAAAGTTATTAGAAATATTAATGAAATATGCATTGAGTACAATTTAGACTTTAAATAGAATATTTTATACATTTGGCATAGTGAAAAATCATTATTGTATACATGATTAACTTAAATGCATTTATTGAAACTTTTTTTTTTTGTAGAACAGAGCATGCTTTGAACCAATATTACCAAATTTAGGATCTTTTCATCAGAGTAACATGCTGCACACAGTTCTGACCTATAGTACCTGACGTCTGAAATTCACATACTTTCCCAGACCTTTCTGTTTACATAAAGGGGCTTTATAGGCAGTGTGTGCCCACGTGTTATCTTGTGTGCTTTTAAATGTTTCTAGACAATAAGTATAGACACAACCATAGGAAATAAACAATTCTAATTGGAAAAGTACCAAATGTGTGATTAGGGGCATACATATATGAACAAGCAATTTCCTTGCAACATTCTGACTAACCAGAGCCTGTGTTTCTCAGAAAAGGCAGCGTGAACAGCCATGGAGGGGCCTCCGCGGGGTAGCAGGGAGGAGGGGAGTCAGGGTTCACCAGGCCCTGCTTGTGGCAGGGAAGGTGCCCACGTTGCTGCCTGTGTGGGGGCAGAGGTCATTGTCTGCCACTCACCGGGATCCAGTGACCATATCATCCCTGACACGGGACCTCCCGCTCTGTCTTTCCCTGCAGACAGACTGTTCTCACAGGCTATCCTACTTGTCTTGGACCCTCATCTTCACGTGTGGGGACGTGTGTGTGAAGAAGAAGGACAGGGATACGGCAAAACAGGGCTGCAGGCGACCAGTGCTCAGGGAGGGCCCTCGGTCTCTCAGCCACCCGGCGCCTGTGGTGTTTTCACAGCAGGAATCAGAGGACACGCCTAAAACTGGCTTAAACAGCAAAGGCACATGCTGCTTACATGTCAGCCGGGCTTCAGACAGGCTGGAGCCCGAGGTTCAGGGTGCATTCTGGGACGTGGCTCTGCTTCCCTGGGTCCCTCAGCCCTGCCCTCTCACGGCCCAGGGGCCACTCACCAGGCTCTGCTCACAGTGGGCGGGGCTGCCTGAAGCTCCAAGAGACACAAGGCACTCCACACAGCCCCACAGGAGGACCAGTTTAGGCTGAACACCGGTCACAGGCACAACATGATGGGACCAGCCTAGACCACATACCCAGTCACATATACACCCCATGGTGGGACCCGCTTAGAACACACACCCTCTCATGTTTGATGATATGTTAGATGCTTCTCTGCCTCTGGATCTATTTTTGTTCATCAGTTTATGTGGTTCATTAGATTCCACAAATGTGTGAGATCATGTGATACTTATCTTTCTCCGACCGGCTTATTTTGCTCAGCATAATGCTATTATTTTTGAATTAATTTACTTGGTGAATAGTTGGCTTCCTCATGAACATCTTTTCTTCAAATGCCTTCTGTTGAAATGTCGTCACATTATCCCTCCCCAGAATAAGTCTACAGGCAGTGGATTTCTTTAATGGTGATCCCTGTGCTTAATTTATTGCTTCGCTTTCGTTCCTGGCTAGATTATCAGATTCCTACAACAAAAAGCATTCTTTCTAAACGCACTGATCATGACTTTGCCATAACACAAAGCTACCATGTACAGGTGTCAGCTTCATAGGAGACAGAAGCACATGGTAGTTCTTAAGCCTTTAAAACCTTTCCTCCCTATAGCTGTGGTGACTCCATCCAGCCTGATAAGAGAGTTTATTCAATTTGTGTGTGTGCACTGGCATGCATGTGTATTTGTGTGCTTGTGTGTATGTGTGTGTGGGCATGTGTGCGTGTGTATACTGGTATAGTCATCATGCATTCTTATAGTCATTTGCTTTTCATTGTCAATGAAATGGAAGGATTGTGTCTCTTGTTTGATTGCCTCTAGAGCTCTGTACCTAGGGAAACAATATATAGTTTCATCAATCTCTGGTTACTTTGCAATATCAAAACGATAAGTGGTAATATATCATTTTAGAGACTTTCTTTAATTTCCGTTCCTTCTCCCTCTTGTCCAGCTATCCTTACTCCTTCCTAACGTCTTTCCTTGCATTTTTCTTTTATTTCTTCCCTCCCCCCTCCTTTCCTTCCCTCCCTCATCCTTCCCCCTCCCTTTTCCCTCCCCTTCCCCCCCTTCCTCACCTCCTCCATCCCTCCTCTCCTCTTTCCCTCTCTCCCTCCCTCCCCCCCCCCCCCCCCGTCCGCTTCTCTGCTTTTCCCCACTGGGATTTAATGAGCTCCTGTCACCCCAGGACCTCTAATGGGGCCCTGGATACAATGCTGATTAAAAGCTGATCTCATGAAATTTACAGTCTCGCTGGAGAGACGCTGATTGATGATCACAGGGAAGAGTGTAACGTTGCCACCTTGATGAATGTGATAAAGAAAATATGCCAGCCTATGGAGGCATCAGAGCAAGAGACTAGATGGGGTCTGGGTTATAAGGGGACCTTCACTCCGAAACTGTGTGTATGGGAGTGCGGGGGTGGAGAGAGAGCCAGAGAGATGGGGAGGGGAGGAGAGAGCCAGAGACAGTGAGAGATGGAGACAGACATGGGGAGAGAGAGAGAGACGAGGGAGGGAGAGACACAGGTGAGGCAGCCCCAGAAGGAAGAGCAGCACCTGCTGAAAGGCATTTCATAAGGGGAACAACATGGAAAAGAAAGAGGAAGAGGAAAAGGAAGGCTTTGCGCTCAGAGAACAAGGTGGAGGAATAGGAGTGTGAGGAAGACCAGGAGACGCAGATGAGACATAGACAGCGAACGGCCTCGGGGGCTGTGGGACCCTAACAAACACAGCTCTCTCTGGCTGTGCTTCAGCACGAGAGTCTGCAGCCCAGGAGCAGGGATGCAGGTGGCCTTGCTGTCTCGCACTCAGGGGATGGGGAGTGGCTTATGGGCGGCTGATTGGACGACCCTGAGGCTTAGAGATCATGAGTTTCGAAATCGGCAAAGGGGGAGCGAAGAAGGACCGGAACCTGTCAAACCAGGCGCGTCCAGAAAACAGATGATTCCCTCAGCCCTGACCTCCCCTCTCGCGCTTCCTGCTGGTCTGAGCGTGTAGGGCCTTTGACCTGACACCGTTAGACACCGGTGCCTTACGCCTGTCCCCGGAGTCACACAGGCTCCTGGTCAGAAACCCCGTGGGTGTCCGCCAAGCCAGGTGGCGCTGACATCCGCTGCTGACCATCCAGCAGCTGTTCCTGTGACTCCACACTTGGGACTGGAGGGGGGCGTGGATGTGTGGGAGGGATGGTCTGTCCTGTGCAATGTCTGCCTTTCATCCCCGTCTGTTCGGGGAGTCAGGGTTGGTTTGCGGGTTTGTCCAGCTCCCAGGTCCTCCTTTAAAAACTCTAAACCCGTGGTTTGTTGGCAAGTGAAAGGCGAGCTCGCCAGGCAGGGACAGGTGCTGGCGGTGACATCATGGGAAGGTGAGTGCAGCCACAGGGAAATGCCTCTGCTGTGAGCCCGTCAGAGGGCGCGTGTGAGCACACTCCTTCCTGCTGACCCTGCTCCTCTCCATCCCGTGCTCAGACCCTAGGCCCTCTGCATGGCCTCCAGCAATGCCCAAGCCCCTCGGTGTTCTGAGGAAGATCAGACTTAGTCTTCCTCGGAGAAGGAAACGTGCCTTCGTCTGCCCTCCGTTCTAACGGATGTG